GCGAAGATCGGTAAGCGTTTCGCTTACCGATCTTCGCAAAACGAAGCCCGACGATCAGCTGTTCAGCGGGTTCAAAATGGAAGCCCCAAAATGGCAGCGTGCAGCGTTTTTGTGCCCTGCCCTCGCTTACTGAGGGCGCGAAAATGGCTGCCGGCTATGGACAACATCGCTGAACGGTGAGTTTTCGGCCGATTTGGAACGCATTAAACGATGTTTAATGCGTTCCAATGGGCTTCCCCGTCCCGTTCAGCAATGTTTTCACATAGCGAGGGTTAATCCGGAACGGATTAACCCTCGCTATGCGAGGCACCACTGTACTTATCATGTCTTGTCAGTTCAGCACTATTTCACTTGCTAACTTTTTTTCTTAAAAAAAGATATTTGACTGGAGGCAAAAGGGGTGGGTAGGAAGATAGTGATAATGGCAGAGAAGAGTGAAGGGGACAAAGGACACTGTGGTGCATGGACACTGGAAACACATCTTCCCAAGATAATTGATCATTTCTGTATGAACAGCAGCAGCAATTTAAATACCCAGGTGCAGTGGAGTGAAGTTTATGTCACCCCAGGACAAATGTCTGTACTGTATGGGCACACCGTGACACTGCAACTAAGCTTTATCTTAAGTAATACACTACCTAAGGTACAGGAATGAGCCCTGGCAAATAATTACAGGTTTCTGGTCATAACTGAATTGGCTTTATTGCTAGTTATTCACTACAATTTTATCTTTTAACAGAGGATCAAATATAGAAATATGTATTATATGCTGTTTTTTAATTGATCTTTAGGCAGCTTTTTGACACCATTGATATGAACAGACTATAGGAAACACTTGCAAACATTGCAGATTAATAGTCTATTGATATCTAGCAGAGTGCCACCAATTTGAGAGTAATGTACATTTCTGTTTACTATGCAAGCACATTTATGAGCCCTGTTGAAAGGGAGGCAACTAGGCACAGGGCTAAATCCAGTATAGCCAAACTGCAAATCTGAACTGGAAAAAAAATTTATTCTACATTTTACAAATAGTATGGCCATATTTGTTCCCAGTCCCATCTAAATTAGTTTACTATGTTGATATTTATAAGAAGCTCTGTTTCATTCCTGGAGATATGGAAAAATACCTTTTCCATCATTTCACAAAGTACAGTTATTATACTGTTTTTGGGGGAGGGGGTTCATATGATAAGACGGCTTTCCCACCTTTAATAATTTATAGATGCAAAACATATTTAGCTACCATCACTCCAGGTATCATAACATTTTAATATCTGCACCTGTATTTGTGGTAAAGGTGTTACAGTAGATATTCCATATTAAATGTTTAAATTATGTGTCTCCAGATTAGCAAGGCAGTACTTCCTGATTCCCACTGGGATGAGACTGCTGGTGAAATCAACACCAGTTTAGAGTACTGTATTTCCTTGCATTAAAAATAAAGAGGAGACTTAAAGGTCATTTTGCCCTGGCAGCAGCAAAATGTTACGGAAGGTATTTCAATGCTCACATTTTCAGCTGCACAACTGAAGAACTGAGCAAATTCATTCCTGTTCTCATATCATCCCAGGCATAAGCTACCCAGATGATCATTCAGATCTGGAGAAGGCTGTTGGCATTCCCATACCTTTTATAGCACATCCACTGCAGTTCCATGAGGATAAGGAAAGAGAAACAAAAAACAGAAACAGAATTTCCAGGGTCTGTACTGTGAAATTATTCTTGGTGGATTTTTATTCTCATCAAGACGCCTTTGTAAATGGTTCCCCCTTGTGGAAGGTGGTGGTGATGTTTGCTTTGCTGAACAATGCATTGAGAGGTTTTCCTGACCAGAGATCTGGCCGTTCAAATCATTAAGAAGCTTGGCTGTTCAAAACATTAATACAGTACACAACTAGAGTTAGTCACATTTTTTTTCCTGAATAGGCAGGCAAGTCTACTGTCCCTTGTGGCAAGTGATAGTATTGTTGGGTACCAACTTTGTGGCTAACGTAATGTGTCATACGTTGGTTCTAACTGGATTCATTCGACAGTGAATGCCCCTAATGGTTTATGGGGGTCACGTCCTGTTTCCCCTAAATTTTTTTTACTGTGAGTGGAAGCTTTTTGAAGTTCCACATGCAGTCAATTTTCACAAGCAGTTTAATATCTGCACCTGTATTTGTGGTAAAGGTGTTACAGTAGATATTCCATATTAAATGTTTAAATTATGTGTCTCCAGATTAGCAAGGCAGTACTTCCTGATTCCCACTGGGATGAGACTGCTGGTGAAATCAACACCAGTTTAGAGTACTGTATTTCCTTGCATTAAAAATAAAGAGGAGACTTAAAGGTCATTTTGCCCTGGCAGCAGCAAAATGTTACGGAAGGTATTTCAATGCTCACATTTTCAGCTGCACAGCTGAAGAACTGAGCAAATTCATTCCTGTTCTCATATCATCCCAGGCATAAGCTACCCAGATGATCATTCAGATCTGGAGAAGGCTGTTGGCATTCCCATACCTTTTATAGCACATCCACTGCAGTTCCATGAGGATAAGGAAAGAGAAACAAAAAACAGAAACAGAATTTCCAGGGTCTGTACTGTGAAATTATTCTTGGTGGATTTTTATTCTCATCAAGACGCCTTTGTAAATGGTTCCCCCTTGTGGAAGGTGGTGGTGATGTTTGCTTTGCTGAACAATGCATTGAGAGGTTTTCCTGACCAGAGATCTGGCCGTTCAAATCATTAAGAAGCTTGGCTGTTCAAAACATTAATACAGTACACAACTAGAGTTAGTCACATTTTTTTTTCCTGAATAGGCAGGCAAGTCTACTGTCCCTTGTGGCAAGTGATAGTATTGTTGGGTACCAACTTTGTGGCTAACGTAATGTGTCATACGTTGGTTCTAACTGGATTCATTCGACAGTGAATGCCCCTAATGGTTTATGGGGGTCACGTCCTGTTTCCCCTAAATTTTTTTTACTGTGAGTGGAAGCTTTTTGAAGTTCCACATGCAGTCAATTTTCACAAGCAGAGTTGTTAAATGTGAGTCCCAATGGGCTACGAAATTAAATCGTAATTTAGCATGTGTACATCACCATCAGACTCAATTGCATTTAGTGGGATTCCATTTTGGACTTGCCATAAGACTTGGCAATAGTTTGGATAACCCAACTAAATATTTTGGTCTCCTATGCAATACCCTAGGGCAGCGCTTCTCCCTAATACACCAGCTAGCTGCTTTAACAAAGATCATAACAATTACTGCACTAACTGAATGTGGATGGTTTTACTGTTCACAGAAGGAACCAGCAATACAGATTCACTTGATGTTCCTTCTTTTCTTGAAATGGCACGCCTTTCTGTGCAAAAGCAACTGTTCCGTTTAGAATGTACAGTACCCCAAAAGAATACACCCATTGCTTTCAGTTTCTTGCAAAGCAGTTTTGAAGAGAGCATAACAGCAGCCCTAAATAATGAACCAGCAAAGCTCCAGAAAGATGGGTGCAGCTATCTGGGTGGAAGGGACATTGTTGGGGCAGGAAGGAAGCAGGTCACTTCCTCCCTCTCCTCCACCACCCCTTTTGTTTTTTGCCAGTTCCCATGAAAACGGAATATATTACATAGGTTTCTTTGGGCAGAAAACTACAAGGTTAGAGGATAGGCAAAAAAAGGAGGGAGCTGTGCTTGAGAACCACCATAAGTCTTTTTATATCGAGAAGTTTAGCACCATGGGAAGGAAGCCTGGAAAGAATTTCTTCTTCTCCATAAAGGAGAAGAAATTCCATCCACGTTGCATATCATTCCCCCAATGAAACCTACTCCTTCTTAAGGGCTCCCTTGAGACAAGCAAACTTCAAAGTGCAATGCTGTAAAGTCTACTCAGAAGTAAGATCCAGCAATAAGTGTGCATACAGGAATGCAGCCTCTGCTTCAAAGCCTGGTTCCTACAGAGATAGCTGTGCTGTCATCACTTCTGATTAAATGCGAATGTGCGCATGGACGTACACCCACACACCATCTGCATGCTGAAGGAGAACGCATGGGGGTGCAGGGCAGCAGAGCTGGTGCTGAGTAGGCTCTCCTTGTTAAGATGTGAGACTCTGGTGACTAACTCATTTGTTTCAGAGCTGTTTAGACATAAAAACATCCCAGTTACATGTTAAGAATGCAGATACATGAGCAAATAAGAGAAAGTCCTTCCTCTAGGAATATTGAACAGGGTCAGCCAAAGACATTTTTGTATCGGAGACAAAAAGACAGACTGCCACTTCCTCTCCACTACATGTATAGACTCAAAAGCCAACTGGACTTGCAGCTGAATCCCAACACTGGGGGCCCAGGATAGGTTGTGTAGCATATCCAAAATGCTCTGTCCTCTCATGTAGTGGAATGGACAGAACCCCAGAAGTAACAGCAGGGGGGGGGCTCCTGCTGCCCCTACTGTTTGCTGCCTGAAATGATGATTTCACTGTGTCTAATGGCAGGAAAGCGATAACAAACCTCGACAGCATCTTAAAAAGCAGAGACATCACCTTGCCAACAAAAGTCCAAATAGTCAAAGCTATGGTTTTTCCTGTAGTGATGTACAGAAGTGAGAGCTGGACCATAAAGAAAGCTGACCACCGAAGAATTGATGCTTTTGAATTGTGGTGCTAGAGGAGACTCTTGAGAGTCCCCTGGACTGCAAGGAGAACAAACCTATCCATTTTGAAGGAAATCAACCCTGAGTGCTCACTGGAAGGACAGATCCTGAAGCTTAGGCTCCAATACTCTGTCCATCTCATGAGAAGACTCCCTGGAAAAAACCCTGATCTTGGGAAAGGGTGGGGGCGAGAGGAGAAGGGAATGACAGAGGACGAGATAGTTGGACAGTGTCATCGAAGCAACCAACATGAATTTGACCCAACTCCGGGAGGCAGTGGAAGACAGGAGGGCCTGGTGTGCTCTGGTCCATGGGGTCACAAAAAGTCGGACACAACTTAAGGACTAAACAACAACTACAACTACAACAAATGCAATCACAAAACAAAAGCAAGCAGAGTGTGAACGGAGGTGCAGTAGGCCATGCAAGGACAATTTGATGTCTTTCAATATTGAGTTTGAGCCTTCATTAGGGCTGAAAATCTGGTCTTCAAAATTTTGAAGTGAGATGGGATATTCCTCTCCACCCATTCCCAGTCTTGCCAACTGCTGCCCATCACTTTGCAGAAATTTGACCCATATCATTCACAGAAACATACTGTACACAGCAAAGGATGTATTACTTGAATTTCCCCAGTCACAAATGTTTGCTGCTTCAGTGCTGAGAAAATAAGGACAGCTGTATAACATATGTGCATCCTTAAGTAAAAACACCTGGATCCTACTCAAAAAGTGACAAGTAAATATACCAATATGACAACTTCTCTCTAAATGAGAAATATTATTCTGAATTTTCCTCATATTCTGTTTCTATCCAGCTTACTATGTGCAAATTACACTTTCTCCTCTGTATATGACAAAGACCACCACAACAAAGATTTTTTTCTGGATTGCTTATTTAATTAGCCTGATCTTGACTTTAAAATAGTGGGGATATCGATTTGTTCAAGCAGGGAGTTATACAAAAACACTGCCATTTGTATTTGTAAAATATAAATTAAACTTCACCTAAATTCATTCTACATTTCATAAAGTTTAACTCCTTCACATTTTCTTTTGGGGTTGTTTTCACTGAGAAGTATTTCTGCTTAAAATTAACTGATCCTGTTACATTACTCAGCAGCTGGAAAGTGCTGAAACAATAATGTATTTAGGGCCAATGGAATAATTCAGACTACTGTCACAACTTCTTTAGGATCCTCTCCCACCAGAGGTTGGGCATTATCATCATGGCTATTCTGACATTAAATATGGCAGCTATCTACAATGATGTTAGAAAACTTCCCAAAAAATTCATAGCACAAATGAATTAGAAGTTCCATATAGATGTTTTTTTAAAAAAGAAAGAAAAAACTATCTTAATTTTTTTAACCCTTTTCCAAGTACACTTCTCTAACAAATAGCTCAAAATGTTCTTCAGACGGTGAGTGGAGCCTGTGAGTACATGCCTTCTAGAAAGCCTGGATCATAAATTTTTCTAAACTGGTTCTAATTACTCAGCTATTAATAGTTCTTTTTCTTTAAGAAACTTGGAAAACTAAGCTGGGCTTCAGCTGAAGTCCCCTAAGAATTTCCCACCATAAATTCAAAAATTGATCTCTGTAGCTGCTTACTGTTGTAGTCCAGTATTGCCATGAGCCACTGAAAAACAACACAGTGCCATGATTTATTAGCCTTTTCCAGATGAACAATCTACAGTGACTGAAGTCTAACCGAACTGTATACATGGCACTTGGGAAGAGAGACAGAACACGTAAGATGTGGGATCAGTAACAAAATGTGCAGGTTTCAGGAACAGACAAGTGTGTAAATTAGGCTTGTTCGAGCAACCAGGTCTCCAACTGCTGGCATATTCCTGCTTATGGACACACAGAGAAAGCAGCCTTTCCCAGCTTGGTAACTTCCACACATTCTGAGCACTGTAGTCCAGCATCTATGGAGGGCAGCTGGTTAGAAAAGCTAACATGTGCACTGTGTATTACTCATCATATATAAACCTGACGATGAGGTGCAACTATTCATCTTGGATTAAGCCATGTTCTATAACATAGAGGAGTTAAGCCATGTTCTATAACATAGAGGAGAACCACTCACCTTTATCTGAAGATGGGGGGGGGGGAACACAAGAGTGGAGGAGGAGGCAGAGAAAGCAGTTGCAAAAAGGGAGGTGCTGGTGACCAACTAAAGCACCCTAGGAAGAATATAGAAACTGGTCAGGTAAGAGAAAAGCAGTGCCAGGGCACAGAGGCCAAGTGAGTATATTCCATAAGGTTTTAAACACATGGATGGAAAGGAACATGGCTCTAAGCCCTTGTCCTTTTTTGCCAGCATTTGAGACAACTCTAAATTTGCAAGCCTGTTTCCAGGAGAACATAGTGGAATAAATATAAGGTGTTCCTAAGTATCTTTGTTGTCTTGACCAATATATTACAAAACAGATCCTGTGTTATTTCCAGAATGTTGTAGTAGCTGTATGCTCTAGCACTTACTAGACAGAAACGCAAATGAAACAAGGGAAGAGGACTTTGCAAAATCAAGGCACAGAGACTGACATGCATGCTGGAACAAATGAAGCAAGGGGCACAGAAGTTCAACAGTTACAGAGAAGGAGGTTAGAGTCCTAATTATCCTGATGAGATTTAAGCTTAAACATATTGTGTCTTCTTTGGCAAACGAGTCCTAGTAATCTGACTCACAACAACCAAGGCTGGACAGAAGTGCAGTGCCAAGTAGAAATACCAAGCCAGTCCTGTAATCTGGGCCTGGAACCAGTCAGAATAGATGGCCAGTATCACTGTGAAAGTGGCAAGCACGTAAACTATCAGACCACATGTCACATGGTACATCTGGACTGTTGCCGTTGAAGAGATCCTCAACAGATGTGGAAAGTGTAGGCAAAGGCCACACAAGACCTGTCCACAAGTGGCCACAAGTGTCAAAAGACCCAGAATACTGTGCCAGGAAACAAAGTGCGGAAGCTCACTCCGATTCTTGCTGGAGATGATGAAGGCCAATCCCAGTGTTCCAGACACAAGCACCAAGGTCTGTGCAGTCCAATGGAGCTGCACTTTTGTTCTGTGGGAGCGCAAGCAGCAGAAGAAAGCACTGTCCGGTGACAAAATCAGGATGGCTTCAGTCAGGCACAGGCAGAACTGAGAACAAAAGAAGCCATTAGCAAGAGTTTGGTTTATAGAGCTTGGCTGTCAAATCAACCCAGGAACTACTTTCAAATAACTAGTAAAGCCAAAGCTTTGGGACCAGTTCATCTGTTACGCCAAATGAAGTGAAGGCCTGGCCTGTGCCACCTCTAGCAGCAGCTGTCTTAAAAAACAAAGAAACAAACAAACTTAAATCACTATCCTATTCCTTCCACTTCATGCAGAATTTTGAGAACACCTAACAGTCCTCGCAGTAGCCTAACTCAGCAGAATCCAACACTACAGAAATATGAACCCAGCGTTTGCTATTCTTTCTTCCCCATGGCTCATCTTGGCTGGGCATGCACCCCACACAATTTAAAACCAGAGACAGGACTTAGGACATGATAACTTTTTAGAAAATGCATTAGCAGTGGTAAGCTTGAGGCCTGGGTGCTTCCAATATGGGGCTATTATTGTGCAGTTAATTTCCGTCAGGAACTGCAATTATGAGTGGCCCAGACAATTGTAGTTTCTATTTGTAAACCTCTCGTGTTATGCTTTTGTCTATCTTCCTTACAACAGAATATCTATTCAGGAACACTGATATAACTACAGTGATGCCTCGCTTAACGATGTTAATTGGTTCCAAAAAAAACATCGCAATGGGAAAACATCGCTAAGCGAAACACGTTTTCCCATAGAGATACATTGAAAACCGGATAATCCTTTCCAATGGGAATGGATTGCCGTCCTTAAGCGAAAATTGCCAAAGGAAACATCACTAAGCGAAACAATGTATCCCCCACTGGAATGCACTGAAGCCTATTCAATGCATTTCAATGGTTTTGTGATGTCCGTTTTTGCAATTTTAAGTGAGAAAAAATTCACCAAAAATTAACGAAGAGTCAGAACAAAGCCAAATTAAGTTTGCACACGTTTTAGAAGGTGCACTACCGATCCCAAGCATTTAAAACAGGTTTCAAACATTTTAAGACACTTTAAAAATAGCGAAAACGGACCTGTCAAAAGCTATTTTTAAAGTGTCTTAAAATGTTTGAAACCTGTTTTAAATGTTTGGGATCGTTAGTGCACCTTCTAAAGAGTGTGCAAATTTAATTTGGCTTTGTTCTTAATTTTTGGTGAATTTTTTCTCCCCCATTGAAAAGCATTGAACCCGATTTTGACAGCTAAGCGAGGCACCACTGTACATAATCTCTCTTCACTGGTGAGGCTAAAAGCTCATTGCTTGGGAGCACCCATAGCATCACTGATTTATAGTTGCAATTAGAGACAGAGATGTTTGACACTGAAAGATCAGCCAGGGGGGTTTGCACCTGGGTCCAGGAGGCTGTGAACGCCTCTTTGAGAGAGGGAGTGGTCCCTACCACCTTGAAAGAGGCGGTAATTCGTCCACTCCTTAAAAAACCTAACCTGGACCCAAGGCTGGTGGTTAACTACCGACCAGTAGCGAACCTCCCTTATTTGGGCAAAGTGTTGGAGCGGGTTGTGGCCGGGCAACTACAGGCACTGCTGGATGAAACAGATTTACTGGATCCATTTCAATCAGGTTTCAGGCCTGGTTTTGGTACAGAGACTGCCTTGGTTGCCCTGTATGATGACCTTTGCAGGGAGAGAGACAGGGGGAGTGTGACCCTGTTGATACTCCTGGACCTCTCAGCGGATTTCGACACCATCGACCATGGTTTCCTTCTGGATAGGCTGGCTGGGTTGGGAGTTGGGGGCACTGCTTTACGGTAGTTCCGCTCCTTCCTGGCTGACCGTGTCCAGAGGGTGGTGCTGGGGGACAGTTGCTCTGCCCCATGGCGTTTATGTCATGGGGTTCCTCAGGGCTCAATACTGTCCCCCATTCTGTTTAACATCTACATGAAACCGCTGGGAGAGGTCATCAGGAGGTTTGGGCTGAGAACTCAGCAATATGCTCACGATACTCAGCTCTACCTCTCGTTTTCCACCAATCCAGGTGAGGCAGTTTCTGTGCTGAACTCGTGTCTGGACCTGATAATGGACTGGATGAGGGTTAATAAATTGAAACTCAATCCAGACAAGACGGAAGTGCTGTTAATGGGCGCTTCACTGGACAGGCTGGAGGACCATTTCCCTGCTCTGAATGGGGTTACACTCCCCCTAAGGGACAGGGTCCGCAGCTTGGGGGTGCTCCTGGACCCCAGTCTAACACTGGAAGCCCAGGTGGACTCAGTGGCCAGAGGCGCCTTCCTTCAGCTTGCGGAAATTATACCAGCTACGGCCCTACCTGGACGAGCAGAGTCTCATGACAGTTACACATGCACTGGTAACAT